TGCAACGGGAGGTGTATCTGTTCGAGCGCCTGGACTCAGGAAGATCCAACGAGCGGTTGAAGTATCTCAAATGCATCGTCTTCATCCGCCCCACCAAGCAGAACATTCAGCTGCTGGCCAACGAGCTGCGGAACCCCAAATACAGCGCCTACTACATTTGTAAGTGGGTCAAGATAAGCGCCCTCGGAATAGTACTAAACTCATAAATAGATTTCAGCAACATCATTCCCCGGACGGACATTAAGTACTTGGCAGAGTGCGACGAATCCGAGTCGGTGCGAGAGGTAAAGGAGCTGTATGCGGATTACCTGTGCGTCAACCCCAATCTGTTCTCGTTAAGCATTCCCAATTGCATGGCGAATCTTAATTGGCTGCCAGATGCTCTGAACCGCAGCATGCAGGGCATCACAGCTGTGCTGCTGTCCCTCAAATTGAACCCAGTGATCCGGTACCGAGCCGGCTCGCAGGCAGCGCAGCTTCTGGCCAAGCTCATCTACGAGCAGATCACAAAAGAGTCCTCGCTATTCGATTTTCGTTCCAACATGGATGGCGCTGCGCCGCCGCTGTTGCTAGTGCTGGATCGCAGGGACGACCCTGTAACGCCGCTCCTGCATCAGTGGACATATCAGGCCATGGTGCATGAGTTGCTGCACATAAAAAACAATCGATTGGACCTGTCCAATCGGCCCAACGTGCCGAAGGACTTCAAAGAGCTGGTTCTATCCGGTGATCAGGATGAGTTCTATGGCAACAACATGTACGCCAACTACGGCGAAATCGGATCCACTATCAAGCAACTGATGGAGGAGTTCCAGCGCAAAGCGAACGACCACAAGAAGGTGGAGAGCATAGCAGACATGAAGAATTTTATTGAGTCATATCCGCAGTTTAAGAAAATGTCTGGCACCGTGCAAAAGCATTTGTGCGTGATTGGCGAACTGTCGGCGCTGAGCAACAAAAGGAATCTGTTCGAGGTTTCCGAGCTTGAACAGGAGATCGCCTGCAAGGCAGAGCACTCGGCCCAGCTGCAGAGAATCAAGAAACTGATTGCGGACGAACGGGTATCCATCGATGATGCTCTAAAGTTGGTGGCACTTTATGCGTTGCGGTACGAGAGACACGCCAACTGCGACACATCTGGACTGCTGCAGATCATCAAAACGCGCGGTGGACAAGCGGCTATAGTACCTTCGCTGATCGAGTATGCTGGAACCCACGTTCGTCAAGGGGATCTGTTCAATATGGTGCGGATAACGGACGCCGTAAAGCTGACACGGAATTTGATTAAGGGCCTTAAGGGTGTGGAAAATGTCTTCACACAGCACACACCTCTGTTGAAGGAAACTCTAGAGGACGTGTTCAAAGGCCGCGAGCTGGATCCCCTCTTCCCAGCCATAAATTCTGAGCTCGTGCCATTCCGACGACCACCTCAGGAGGTTGTTGTCTTTATTATTGGCGGCACCACGTACGAGGAAGCCTTAGCCGTTCACCAGCTAAACAACGCCGGCTATAGAGTCATCCTTGGCGGCACCACCATCCATAACTCGCAGAGTTTTATACAAGAGGTCATGGCCTCCACTAGTGGCACTCAGTTTAAGCACACCAAATCCATGATCAAGTACTGTTCCACGGATAACATTTAAAGCCTATTTTCGCTAGATAGCCCCAATTATATTGTTAACTATTTATTAACTACATATGAATGTGTATTATCTATTAAGTCTATTCCATGCATTATACCAATTCAAATCCATTGGACTATTTAACCTTTTAAGCGTATCCATGTAATATACCTGTAAGCATAATAATTGTTATTCTCGAGGGTAACACAAGGCAACGCCTTGGACAAAATGTATTATATTCAGCTATGTGTGTACAAAAATACTATACGCTCATTGTTCTTGTTATAATTGCACCCCGTTTCGGCAAAGAGTTCCTTGGCAACGCCCAGGCAACGTTTCGATGGGCTCAAAGAAGACCTTAAGTTTTTCATTGATGAATCATTAACCAGCATGTCCAGCACATATTTCAACGATGTCTGGCATCAGTCGCAGCATGAATGCGAACTGCTGTCCACGATTGACTATGAGAGGCAGCACCAGGATGTGGAGACGACCGTGGCCACCATGAATGCCGCGGTCGGATCCGTCGCCGCCGATGCGGATGCCAAGGCCTTGCTGCAGTCAAGTCTGTACGAGTTCTATCTGCGCTACATATGCCTGAGCAATCGGTTGGAGGATGTCTACGATAATGTGGGTATACGACTTCGTTAGGCTTTTAAGGAATGATCAAATAAAAAAGGGGATACATGCAGAGTTTCCATAACATCTGACTTTTATTTACTCCTCATCCTCCATAGATGATTCAGCCTCAAAAGCGTCAGCTGGTGCGTAAGTTACTGGACGCCTGCCTGGGTCGAGTGGTGGAGCTGAAACACGATCTCGTGAATATCGATTTGATGGAGTTCAGCTACAACGACGACGTGGTTGAACGGCTGCGCCTGACGCCCATGGAAACCGAGTTGAAGATACCCCGCTACTTTCTTCGCGAGCGTCAGCAGGAGCTTGAGTTTCGTAAGAAAACCATGCATGAGATCCTAACGAAGCTCGGTTGGCTTGAGGAGCACGAGATGGAGGAGACGGTGACCACCGAGATCGAAGCCATAAGGATGCTTCAGATGCATGAGCGAGCGCGACAAGGACGCTTGCGTGCGCACTTTATGAAGGAGATCCGCATCCTTAAGGAAAAGGGCAAGTCCGAGGAGCGCACCGAAAAGGAGCGTAGTGACTCCGGTCTGTTGGCTGCTATGAAGATTCAGAAGATGTGGCGTGGCCACACAGCCCGACGGATTACGCGCCGCCGCAAGATGGAGGAGATGATCCTGATCGGAATGCTGCCACCGCCCCCGGCTGTGGTTAAAGAGCGAGCCGAGAAACTGGAGAAGCTGCAGCACAACGAGAAGCGCTACCAGGCGCAAGCCCTTTACGGACAAGAGTTTGAGGAGCGGCAGTGTGCACTGAAGGAGGAGATTCGGGCCAAGCACGGAGCCAGCATGAAGGAGGACATCGCCGATGAGATTCGGGCTTGGGTAAAGGACTGCTACGACAAGACAGGCAAGCTGCCGGACTTTCCCTCCGAGGATCAGGGCGGCTCATTGCATATTTTCAGCAGACCTGGAACTGAGAGCGAGCACAGCCGTTCGTCGGCACGCTCCTCCAAGGAGTCACGAAAGACAAAGGATAAATCCAAATCACCCGCCCGCAGTGGTGACCTCAACGTTAACGAAAACCAAGACGAGGAAGTTAGCTTTCAGCCGGCGCCATCCGTCTGTCTACCAGACATCCGTGCTGAAATCGATCTGTGAGTAAGATTATATATAAAGGAATCTAATTCTTATCTATATACAACACCAGCTTTAACGATACCTGGCGTGATAAGGATGAAACCGGTGTGCTGAGCCAAGCGGCCTACGAGGACATGATCTACAGCGACAAGTACCAGGAGGTGGAGCTAGAGTTCCGGCGCGCCGTCGACGATGTGATGCGCCAGGAGATCGAGCTGCTCCAAACGGCCGTCGGCAAGAAGGTCAAGAAGAGCAGCAAAAAGACACGGCGATCCGGCAAGAAGAGCAAAAAGAAGAAGGAGAAGGATCTGACGCCGGATCGCACGACGGAGTCGCTCTACGAGGAGCTGGTCACGAATGGCATAATCCGAAAATATCCAGAGCTAAGGCTAAAGCAATTCCTGGGCGACAAGGCGTTGACTGCCAGGAATGGCACGAATCCCTCGCCGGGCGACATCCGCCAGATTCTCACGGAGTATTGCATCCTGCCACTGGGATCTGATGCCATCCACAATTGTACTCCACTTATACGTTCCATCCTATTGGCCGGACCCAAAGGATCTGGAAAGAAGGCTCTGCTCCACGCCATCTGCACGGAGGTGGGAGCTGTTCTATTCGATCTGACCCCTGCTAATATTGTGGGAAAGTATCCTGGCAAATCGGGACTCATTATGCTTATCCATCTGGTACTGAAGGTGTCACGGCTGCTCCAACCAGCGGTGATATTCATGGGCGATGCGGAACGTCCCTTCATGAAGAAAATCCCGAAGACAGATCGCACAGATCCCAAGCGGCTGAAGAAGGATCTGCCCAAGTTGATAAAGAACATTGCTCCCGAGGATCGCGTCATTTTCATTGGTACCTCCAATCTTCCCTGGGAGGCGGATCAAAAGCTACTGCAATCCGTCTACAATCGATTCATCTATATTCCACGACCGGATTACGGTGCAATGTCGCATGCCTGGAAAACATTGTTGCAGTGCGTAAACGTTGAGATTAATTTACCAAAAAGAATCTATTGATTTGGTTTGTACCCCGACAGCGATTACTCTGGTGGAATTTCCAATCTGGACACCAGTGCCATGGCCAAGATATCAGATGGCTACACCATTGGATCCATCGATGCCTGCCTCAAGGAAGTGATGACCTGCAAGCGGAAACTCCAGCTGCGCACCCAACCGTTGACCAATGCCGAACTGATCAATGTTCTGTGGTAAGTAGATTAAACTATAAAATAAGATGCATGTTAGTGTCCATGCCTTGCAGCTCACGAGATCCTGTTTATCGCGAGGAGGAGGAAGCTTTCGAGTCCTGGTGGTCCAAGACCCCACTCGGCCGACGTCGTCAGCGGTTTTTGGAGCTGGAGGAAGAGCGATTGCTGGAGGAGCAGGCCCAGGCTGCCAAGCAGGGAAATGGTAACAAAAAAAAGGGTCTTAATTGAAAGGTAATCATTGCACTTCTTATATTTAAGCCTAATTTATAAGGAAACATCTTTGGATTGCTATTGGTTACAATTCATTCAACGCTATGGCTTTCTTTACAATCTTGCCTTTATTAGGAAACTACAATTTATATGTTTATATCTATAAACAAATATGGGATTACATTTTTCATAAACTTTTATACCTAATAAAATCAATATATTTGGTATTACATACTAATTAAAAGCAGCTGATTTATATATGTACATATATATATATATATATGTATAAGAATAGTAATTACTCAATTAAAGACTGGCATTACCCTATTTCAGCGTGTAAGTAAAGTCCTTGTTGCCGCACTTTAGGTGCACCTCATTGACAGCCAGAGAGAGTGTGTCCTGGTCTTCAAGGAGCTCTTGTAGATCCTTTAGCTTTTCGTTGAGCACTTTCTCCTGGTCACCCACGCACCAAAGAAGGCTGACGTGGAAAGAGGCCGGATCATAGAATTGCTGCTGCCGGTACTCGAGCATCACCCGATCGATGGGCTGCAGGATGGCAGTCATCTTCTCAACAAAAGCAGCATCTAGTGGCGCTGCAATGAATGTCCTTGTTCGCTCCTCGTTAGTGTAAATACGCAGTCCTCGCAAAGTGGCGGCGAATCTGAAAGAATCAATTATCAGGATTGGTCTTACTTTTTGCTATTGGTTCTTGATTCCTGCAAACAATCTCACCCCGTTGAGCTGTTGAGAGCGGTTTGCAAGGATCGGGAGAACTCATCAATCTGATGGTACTGCAACACCACTGTTCGACTCAGGCTCAGATGGAGAGACTCGTTTGGCTGCAGCTCCACGTGTGGCTCCAGACGGGCAATGGCCTCCGATTGGAACTCCTCCAGCTGGTCAGCACATGCAGTTGACGGCACATAGACGTAAGTGGCCCAGTTTCCACGTTCGTGCTTGAAGCTACGGATGCGGCCGCCATGCAGCTCGGGATCATCCACCACATCCTCGACGAACTCCTCGGGCTTGGGCTTCTTGGGGCCCAGCAGGGCGGCTGCTGTGGGCAGGGCCGGTCTTCGGCGGTTAAAATGTAGAAATCTACGGCTATTTCAGTAAAGCACTTTACCTTTTCAAGCTGCTCATCGCTGGAGTTCGAATGGTTTCGGTGGAGTCCTCATCTTCGGAGGCGGAGGTGCTGCTGCCGGCATAGTCCACAAGTGCCATATTATTACTTATTTATTTTTGTTTTATTTCATTTAACAAGAAGTGGCCAACAGCCCAATGTTCGCCGGTTTTTTTTACATTTATCGATTAAATCAAGAGTGATGTGTGTTTAGCTTTTTTTTTAAATTTTATCGCGAAAAAATATTTTGTCTTAAACAATTCAATTTTAATTAGTACAATTTAAGAAAACAGTTATAAAGCTAATTTTATATTATAAATTTAACGCTAATTTGTAGATATTTTTTGTTCTGGTAAATCGCCAAATAAAATGTATTGACCGTTAAATGGTTTAAAATTTCAAAAATATACTTTTTTATTTGGACTATCGGTTAAAATGCTCAAATTGGTCTACTACAAACTAGCTTCAATAGCCGGGCACTGCTCGCCGTCATTCTTCTCCAGCTTCGACTGCTCCCACTGGTAATGGTAGAACCGTCCCAGTTGGAAGAGCTGCGTCAGACTCACGAAGAGATTCACAGCGAACAAGCTATAGTTCTTCGGAATGATCACCAGGGAGTAGCGCGTCCAAATCAGGTTCGTTGCCCCAAGAGCCAGGCATCCGTTGGGTGAAATCGTGTCCGCAGGACGCGTCAAATCACCGAGACCCGCGATAACGAGACTCTGTAGTGGAATATAGAATGAGTGCAGAGATTAGGGGGATCGGGCCGATAATACAGGGTAAGTCCCCCCATTGACTGCAAATCTGAATGGCATGTTGCCAAAGCTTCCAGGCAAAACAGCAAAAGTATTATCAAATATTCCATGAGCCACATAAACCGCACAATCATTCAGTTATCAGAATCTCGCGCGTGGAGAGCAAAATGGTATATACATACATACATATACGTACTAATTTATCGCGGGCTTGAACAGGTTTGCTGAGAACTAAACAAATATTAATAAAACACCATATGCGCCCACAGATTTGTTTATCAGTACGGTGATAATGGGAATTGGCTAAGGACGCAGGGTTCATGGTTATGCAAGTAGTTCCGAAACTTACCCATTTCACGATTGGACCCCAGAAGAATATGGTCTTGGGACCTGAAGAAGAGATGTGTTCGTATCTTGTCGGTGCTCGGAAAACTGTGCTTTATTATCACCTGCAGGGTGCATCCACAAGGGTCGCATCTTGGCGGGCACATACTTATCACAGGCTTTAATAAGTCCATTATACGCCCTGGAGTGAAGGCCCTTTCCGGTGGAAGCTGCAGCCGTGGGAGCAGGCGGAGTTGGAGGAGTGGCCGACATTCCCAGCTATTTTTCCTCTATTTGGCAACGTAAAATCGATGGCAGTTACGAAGAGAAACTGCTGTTGGGATTACAAATCGAGAGGAAATCTATATAGCCTACCTCTGTCAAGTATTTGTTGAGTATGGGTGGATTAATTGGAGCGCTGGAACAACAATCGATTGGGATTGCGATAAACCAGGTGGGAAGTTGTGCTGCTAAACAATCTGAGGCACAACAGTTCCAATGAAGCGTCAATCTACAACTGAGCTTTCCGAAAGGTTCGGCGTCCATACTTAGATGTTTATGTTTCTCTAGTATTATTAGCTTAGAGCTCCTGTTATCAACAGCATTATCAGCCACTAGTACACGACGCCAGCCCCTCTTTTCACGCTTTGTTTTTGCAACAAAACTAATAAAAGTTGTTAGTTATATTCTCCTTTTATTGGTTTTTAATTAATTTGTGCTTGCCTGACTAATTGCGTAAAACTCAAAAAAATTATCGTAAGCAAATGTGCAAATAGATTCAGCGCACATGGCGTATGAGTGATGGTGATTTTATTGATAATCCGGTTTTAATATAATCTGAAGAATTTCTCTCTTTTTCAATTAATTACTGCACATTTATGGCGATTTATATTAAGTCATAAAATTAGATATTGATTGATTTTTGATAATATGCCAAGTTTTCTTAGATAAACACTACTGAAAATAAGTAGTATTTAAGGAAAATAGTTCCCAGAAAACAGTTTTTTTTTCCTTTGTTGCTTAAAATCCAATCCAATAAAACGAACAATTGAGTTACTTTAGTGACTAATGTCTTATAATATATTGGTTTATCATTCCCGTTTAGATTTAACTATACGCAAAGCCTCCACGGTTACAACTTAAGTAATACGAATCACGTCGATAAGGCGGTGTACCATAAATAATAATGGTTAACAGGTTGTAAAACGCAGATGCCAAATCTGCGAGCACAGCTTCCTCTTAATCCTTTCGTTTACGTTGTGCGATGCGGGATTTGTATGTACATAAGAGTTCGATTAAAGTCTATATAAAGGGGACAGCACCGGTATTCGATTCGATATGTCTCTAGTTCTGCGTCGCCGGCAGCTCCTGCTCCTGCTTCAGCTTCTCCTGACTCTGGTGGTAGTGGTAGGCCCGTGCCAACTGCACCACCTGCGTGATGCCCACGAAGAGATTCACGGCGAACAGGCTGTAGTTCTTGGGTATGATAACCAACGAGTAACGCGACCAGATGATTCCCGTGGCAGCAAGGGCGGCGCATCCAGACACGGAGATGGTGTCGGCCGGTCGGGCCAAGTCACTTAGTCCGGCGGCAACGAGTCCCTGGCAAAGGAAAAAAAAAAGAAGATTATATTGCTTGTTAGATGCCACGATATCCTGAGACTTTTCTTTGTTTTTCAGACTATTCATTTGCTGTTTGATATACATATGTGAGTATAAGTCATCTATACATAAGATATGTACAGCTGTCTTCGAAATAAACATAAACAAATAATTCTGGCATATAGCTGCTTGAGTTGCCTATATGTGCTCCAACTTTCTGATAAGTATTTGATATTTAAAGCGATATCCGGATACCTTTATTCACAGGGCCAGGCAGCAGAAAGCAATCCGCTCACCAACACAATCGCATGCGGTTATCAAGCGCAGGTTGCTCGAAATAATCAAATAATTTCATTTAATGGCACCTGCGCACAGATTTGTCTACCGCCGTTTCGGATTTATGGTGAATAGTATAGTATGTGTGCGATAATGAAAATCAGCGAAGGTCGTGCGTCGTCCGAGTTATGTAATCCCATTCGTCTGGCCTTCTGTCTAGTACTTACCCACTTGAAGACGGGTGCCCAGAAGAATATCGTCTTGGGACCTGGAATCAAACCATAACTATATGTAGGTGCGCTCTATATGGCATAGTAGACCGTGGAGCTTACCAGCTGGATGCATCCACAGGGGCCGCAGCTTGGCGGGCACAAATTTGTCGGCGGCGCCAATCATGCCGTTGTACAGCTTGGAGTGGATGCCCTTTCCGGCAGAAGGGGTGGCTGATGGGGGCGGCGGGGGAACGGGCGGGGGTGGCTGAACGGCAGCGGACGACATTTTGTTGTTGTTGCTATTTGTGCGAAAAAATTCCACGGGGTGCAGTGATGTTAATTTCTGCGTCCAAACTAGTTGGCTGGCAATCACAAAATAAAATCTACTATGAAACGCTAAACAACAAAAGCCAAAAAGCTTAGCGAACAAAAAGCTCGAACAGCTGTGCGCGCTATTTACTAACGTGTTTGATTTGACACGTTAAGGAAATACCTATACAATCGCACATACAACTCGTACTTGACTTTCTAAAAACTGCAAAAATCATGCATTCATCTGTTTAAACTTATTAGGAACAGGTTTATGGCCGATCACAGGTTTATTAGCTGCCGCACAACATCCTTGACCTTGAAGAGAGTGTGCCAATTTCCGCAGTTTCCGCAGATACAAAAATGTTGACGGAAGCAAAAGTGTCTCAATCGAATGCAGCGCTACCAATACATAAGCGGTAAATCTATAAATAGCACGTAAATGCATGTTTTTTTTAGGAGTCACGCGATGGTAGTGATGAGTAATTTCTCGCGCGCTTGAATATTTCAAAATATGAAAAATGTATTTCTAAATCTTATATGCAATAAAACATACGGAAAATCGTTAATTAAAACACATAAAATTAAACACTTATAACCAAATTTATTACACTCACAACAACTGGCGTACTAAAGATAAACAATTTACCATCCCTAATTTTAGTGTTGGAAAAAGATGTTCTGTCAGCAAATTTAAGTAAAAAAGAACGTAGAAAAAAAATTAGTGCAATTGCATTAAACATTTTGTAGGTATTGAGTAAGTCCACTTTCAAAAATAATAGTTTTCAAGACAATATTTTAATTTTCCCATAACTAATTGAAGAAGGCCATGTAGATGATATGTAACTCCCACGTAAATATTCTGAATAGTTCCCCAAACAACCGCCAGGGGAACTCCAAGCTCTTAAAACACTTTAAATGAAAGAGCGAATATGTAAAATTAATGAACTATTTATTCCCACACTCCTCAAGGTTATTAAGTAAAGCATACACCACGTTACCCAACTAAAGCTAAATGATTTAAAGTATCCTATACTAGCGAAATTGATGCCTTGCAGACGAGTCATTAACATAACTTGATCCGCCAATGGGGGGAAACGCCCAGTACCTTCTGATGCAATCCGAATTGGATGATTGTTTACAAATATTACTCGATCTGTTACCATGTGAAAACTGTTTTTTGTAGCTGCCCTACAAAAGGTAGACGGGCAATTGCGCATTAATGGGAAACGTGCTCAAGTGACGCACTAGCTCAAATAAATGCTAATTATAAGCAGATCGGCCGACGGACAACTCGAATGCCTGGTCTTGAAACGCGACACGACTAGACAGACTCATAAGTCATAACTTGTGCTTATAAATTTCCACTTAACTTATCGAGCTGGAAACAAAATGATGAGTGGACTTTTGCTTTTATCGTTTTCATGTTAGAAATGTATACATATGTAATTTCAATTACAAATCAGAAGCGTACATATTTAAATAATTCCATATAAATCAAATAGGTCTACATTGTTTTTGAAATTGTTTTTTTTCATTCCTGTGTGTATATATTTTAGATGAGCTATAGCACAGTCACTCCAATCGGATGTCCTTGCATTGCACAACCACACACGCACGAGTGTGTGTATGTCTGAATTTTGTAATTTTGATAACACAGAATTGAGAGAAGCTAAAACGGCTGCAGCGGATTATCCGTTGTGTATCCTCACGAGTTCCTATTTCTCGTCCCTAAAACGAACCCGGCTGTCTAATTGCTGCTGTGTGGTGGACAAAATATATAATGCTATTATTATGTGAATTTGTTGGCGGCTCGTCGGGCTTGTTCATACACAATGGATTGTGTACGGATAAACGCCAAATTATGTGTGTTGCACGTGTTTGGTTTTTCTTTACTGCTACTGCGGCTGCCTTCGGATTGGATCGTTAAAAGTTGAATGAGTTCATGGGCAGCTTATCGGCGTTCGGATCGAAATTGTATTGTGTGCCGTCGGAGCTTGGTGCCATGTTAGTCTGTTCGCCCTGTAAGGATTAAAAACGTTTTAGAAATATAACAAAGGTTGGGATAAAATGTTGGCTCACCTCATCCGTGAAGTATTGATCAATGATTTCATAAGCTAGTTTGTAGATTTCAACGTTTTCGTGGCTCTGCAGCCGCTCGATCTTGGCCAGACCCTCGCATTCCTCAATAAAGTTGGCCACCGCCTCAACATGAGAATCGGCCACTTTGAGCATATTGTTCAGTCCATCCAGAACAACCTGTGCGAAAGAGAAAATATGTTACGCTATGGACATTTCTACAATGAGTCGCAGATTCTTACATTTATAACTTGCGTATCCTGGCACGAAAGCAGCTCACAGAATGGCGGAATAACGCCCTCCTTGATCAGGGTGAAGACCTGTTCGCGGTTGCCGCTAATGGTCAGATTGCTGATGGCCCAGGCAGCCTCCTTCTGTGTCTGGAACTCGCCCTTGCTTAGGTTTTCGATAATTTTAGGCAGGAGACCTACGTTGATAACGGCCTGCACCTGCGACTGATTTCCAGCGGTAATGTTCGAAAGAAACCAAACCGCCTCCTTTCGGATCTTCTCCTTGGGATGCGAGAGTAGGCCCGGGAAGTAGGAGAGCGCGTCATAGTTGAGCACAACCTGTGTCTGCTCATCCGATCCAGTCACTATATTGCCAACAGCTCGCAGTGCGGCGGTCTGAACCTTGACCTCACTGTTGCCCAGCAGTGGTATCAGCTTGGGTACAACTCCACTCTCAATGACCATCTGGATCTGGTCGTTGCCGCCGTCAGTCAAATAGCTGATTGCCCAGACCGTGTCCACTAGGATGTTCGTGTCGGTGTGATGGATTAGCACATTGAGTGCGGGCAGGATCTCATGAATGGTGGCTGCCGGGGGAGGCGGATCCTTGTTGCGGCACAAATTCACAATCACCCATGTTACATTGCGCAAGAATGAGATGGGGATGTCCGGCTTGATGAACGACAACAGTGGCTGCACGACTCCGTGCTTAATGACAAAATCGCGGAGCAATGGACCATCGCCGATGATGTTGCCCAGGGCCCACACGGCTTGTTCGCAAACATTGGGAGCGGGCGAGTTGAGAAGTTGAAGGAAGAGCGGCACGGCACCGGCGGCAACAACCTAAACAGGATTATCTTGCATTACAACAAAGAAAGCGCAAGGAGGGTAGGGTAAACGCACCTCATTGGTCTGGACCGATGTGCCAGAGGCAATGTTGGTCAGGGCCCAAGCGGCCTCAAATTGGAGCATTGTGTGATTGTGTTGCTTGAGACACTCCACCAGGATGGGCAGAATGTCACTTTGGATCAGATCGTTGATGGGTGGATTCTTGTCCGACGAAAGCAGCTTGCGGGCGGCCTGAACGGCTGCCAGTTGCTGCTCCGGCTTGGTGGCGTCTGCGGCTGTCTGGGCAAGCTTCTTCAGGTTAATGGACGAGGACAACTGCTCGTCCTCATCTGTGTTCGAGTCCAGATTGGGCACATTCCGCCGCTTGAGAATAGTCTCCTCGCGCTTGTTCTTCCTCAGCTCGACAGTGACTTCGTTTCGCCGACGCCGCATTTCCTGTACGGAAATAAATTCTACAATGTTTTCCATTTCAGCAGTAACTTTAAACTACTCACATCCTGATCTTTCCCTTTGTTTTTGAAGTTTTGTAAACGATTTTGCTCCAGAGACGTCATTTTGTCCGTTTTCTTTATATTCCTCTATGCCGCTTCAATAGGGAGCCGCTATTGCGATTGACTGTTTAGAAATGAGTAGGTTAAAAACAATTATGTAGATGTGGAGATGGCGACGTACGCCTCCTGGCATGTTAATAATTTTGAAATTAATAATTTGTTTCAATTGCAAGCCAAGGGGAAAAATAAATCGCACGCACACCAACGCGCACCAAAGAAAAAATAACGTAGAATCGACCAACACAGTTGCAGCACAGCACGATGGCGCAGGCAATGAAAAAGAAATGGCGAAAAAATACATGAAAATTAGCAATGCCATTGCCGAAAAAAGGGTTTTTCTTTGTCCTCGGTAGCGGGTACTTACGTTTGTAGTTCGTAAATTTGGTTTCTCCCACGACACACACACTTTCTACGCCTTTTAAAAGTGATCAATTTCTTTCTTTTTTTTTATAAAAATTGCAATCAGAGACGTGAGTGAAGTTAGCTGCGGTTGGCAATTCGGGACTGCCCACTTATAGGCAGGGTCGATTGATGCGCCTATCGTCAGATCCGAACTTTTGTCGACTTGATTAGCCTTATATATACACTGAATTTTTGATATTGGCTTGTGTTGCGAAATTTTAGGAACTTACGCAGTAGATTTTTGTATAGCTTTTTCAAAGCATTTGATTTAAGAAATTCTCTTACTTGTTTAAATTTTATTATAGAAATGCGTATTATTTGGGTTTTTTCAAGCTGATTTGTCGTGCCAGTACACATACCTAGAAAAGTATCGATATTTTTAAGGCATGCGAGTTATCGATACCGTCGGGAGTGTCATCACTATTATTGAAACTATTCTGTCCATGCAAGGCGTGCAAGAAAACGTTTAATCGCTAACAGCGACCAATTTGCTGATCTGTGGCGGTATTCCAGTAGCATGCATGTACACTAGGACGATCCGTACCCAGCGAGAGTGCAATGACGGAGAAAACAGAGAAAGGGGCGAGCGTGGAAACGCCGCAAGTGGCGGGGTCTCAGCCAAATCCTCCGAATCAGGAGCCACTTGCACTGGCCGAGGTTCCGGCAATTAAGGTAAAGAGCGAACAACCGGACGCAGAGGTGGAGGCCAAACTCCGGGCCCTGAATGCCAAGATCAAGGCGGATATGGTGACTTTGCAGCGGAGAAGCAACAGCAAAGAACTGGGAAACAGGGACGAATCGGGAGACAGCGAGAGCTCCGCCTCGGTGGACGACAAGAAGGACATTAAGCCGGTAAAGTCTTCGAACGAGATCCTCGCCGAGTTGTTCGGAGTGTTCAATGCCGCTCCTCCAGAGGAACTTCTAGACGACAATCTGTTCAAGAAAAAAAAGAAGGTCAAAAAGGAAAAGAAGGAAAAAAAGGCCAAGAAAAAGAAGACCTCCAAATCGGATGGTGAATGCAGCGACTCGGAGGCGGAGGGCAAGCACAAGCACAAACGTAAGAAGCGCAAACACAAAGACGGCAGGGTCAAAGACAAGGAGAAGGATCGGGACCGGGATAGGGACAAATCCAAGGAGAAGGACCGGGACCGAGACAAGTCTAAGGAGAAGGATCGGGACCGGGTTACAGACAAATCAAAGGAGAAGGATTGGGACAAGGATAGGGATAAATACAAAGATAAGTTTACGGCAGCACAAACTCCCTCTGAGAAGGAGAAAGAAAAGTCTGAGAACAGGAAGCGCAGCGCGGTGGACCCTGCCAGTCATCCCGAAAAGCGGGAACGACATGAAAGGGACAAGCAGCGCGATTGGGAACGAGAAAGAGAACGTGAAAAGGAACGTGAAAAGGAACGCGAAAAGGAGCGTGAAAAGGAGCGCGTCCGCTCCCACAATAGCTTTTACAACGGTCACCGTGAAGTGGATCGGTCGAAAGGATCTGAAGTTGCAAGTACAAAGTCACGGCAGGAACCAGATCTATCCGATATCTCGCTTTCCGATGAGGAGTCCTACCTCCGGGAAAAGGCTTCTAATGGCCGCAGACGGCCGCACAATAGCTTTTATGACGGAAAGGAGGAACCCTCGGTTTCACCCAGGCGAAACGTGCGCGAATCCAACTCCAGGAGGAATCGAAAGTCAAGATCTCGCTCTCGTGAGCTCGGAATCGACAAGAAGCGTTTGCTCGAGATTGCGCGACGGAATGCCATTAACATGTTCAAACGGGGAACAATGCCCGGCGTGGCTAACATGACGGCGGAGGTCAAGGACAAGGTGCTCGTCAAGATGCGCTACGGAGGACGTACTGTTCAAGATCTGACCGACTTTTGCAAAAAAATCTCCAACGGCGACGGACTGTCGGATCTGAGTTCTGAAGAGGAGTCCGATGTGGACAAGAATGGTAATGCGAAGGCGTTTCATCATCCCTTTCAGCTTAAGGAACGCGATCCTATTGTGATGCATATACGAAACTCGACGGCACTAGTCCCAGCACCATCTCGGCTCGACGAGCAAACAAAGGCCATAACCATGCAGTTCCCGGTGTCGTCGGGACAGACCCATCGCAATAATGAGGTGTGGGTGCCGGTAGAGCGTAAGGACTCGCTAGTGCCGTTGCCGTCCCTGCCGTCAGCCAAACAGGCTACTAATATCTTCAGGGAAACGCCGAAGAACGTATTCGCGAAGTCGATGCCTTTGCAGGAGCAGCAGGAACCCGCCTTTAAGTCACTGGGAGGAGCATCCTTAGTGCCACCCTCAGTTGCTTCTCAATCACCCACTATTCCCCAACCAGTCCCGCCGCCCGTACCAAAAGAGTCCCTCCCCTCGGCTGCTCCCTTTGTTCCCGAGGTGCCTATACCGTCTACAACGCCCGTAACACCTGCGCAAAGTGCTTCCATTTTTCCGGATGTGACGACGCCCTCCATGGACGTATCCAGCATAATCACCCAACGCCTTAGTGCCATACGTCGCCTGCAGGTGATCTCTAAAACCATTTTTCATTTCACGGGATGACTTAATTATTCGTTTATTATTTAGGACAATCCTGCCGACTCTGAGGCTCTGAAAATGATGTACAATGCGCAACGCAACATGTCGTCGTGGGCGAACTCAAAGCACCTGCCTGGTCAGTTCACGGGGAGCACGGGCGCCCAGGTGATGAAGGCCCATGAGCTGAACAGTGGTCCGCAGCTCTGGGTGCGCAAGGACCAAATGACCTCCACCAAACCGGTGACCGGTGGCATGGGAATGGCGCTTCTGCAGAAGATGGGCTGGAAGCCAGGTGAGGGACTGGGCAGATGTAAAACCGGATCACTGCAACCCCTTTTGCTGGATGTCAAGTTGGACAAACGCGGCCTGGTGTCGCGCGACGACTTAAAGCCGCCGCAAATGCGTGCGTCGGCTGCCCAGCGAAGAAATAAAAACATAACCGTACCAGTTGGAGTTGGCCCCGGTCCACCGGGTCAGGGAGCGGGACCTGGACCGGCGGCGCCATCGCCACTGGTCACCCAGGATAAGCATCCAGTGTGTGTGCTCAACGAACTGACCTCGAAGAACAAGTGGACGCCCCCGCAGTATAAGCTCCGTCAGGATATTGGACCCGCCCATAACCGCTCCTTTCTCTTTTCTGTCGAGATTAACGGACAGACCTATACGCCGGATCGCGGATGCAACAACAAGAAGGAGGCGAAACTCAACGCAGCCACCTTGTGCTTGCGGGCCTTAGGCATCCTTCCGCCCAGCTAGTGATCGAACTTCGAATAGGCTAATTTCTAGATAGTGAATATAATAGAATCCCCAAACTGTACATAAAAGTTGTCCTAAGTTTAAGTCGTAAAGTCATGCTCGACTGCTGGTGGAACACAAATATATTTATAACATCAGATCTTAAGTCAATCACTTTGTCAAACCCAGTCTTAATGCTAATTGTTAATTTGACTAAAATTACTGATATTTGATGCATCTATAACGTTTTTATTTCTATAATTTATTCATGAGCATTTTTATTTTTATTTTTACTTTTATAAACTTCTTATTTAAGTTTATTTAAGCGTCATTGATTTCAGTTGTAAATTACCTGTATATTTCTAGTTCCTTAAAGAAATCGTTGAAGTGTATTTTCTTTCCTCATTAAATTGCACATTTCAGTTGACCCATTAATTTTGCCAGTGTAAGGCCAGTTATTTGAGATTCAATATTTTGGGAGAGGAGCTTTAACGCGCGAGCTTTGATTACCCGCCCGCCTCACGGGGCTTTTGCGCAAGTACACAAACAAAGCCAGCTGTTCCGAGTGGGTTAAGCGACAGTGGGCCGTGTGGACCGGGAGTGTGAGCATTGCCGCTGCAAGTTCCAAAAGATTGCTCCACGACGAAGGTCAGTTCACGCGGAAGCTCGAACTTCGTCGGATGGCGAGCACGGACCATTGGATTGGCTAGTGGGCGCAGAAGGACACGGGCCATAGGGAGCGGAGCAGAGGTCGTCACCCGGATACAGACAAAACTTTTCCGAGTGCCCCAGTCCTCGTTGCAGAATTCCCCCCCACCAGCATCAATCAGCATCCAACGCAACCAAATGCCTCCAAAGCGTGCGCAATAATATTTGTTGTGAAAATATCCATGCCACCGTGCAAATGCTTTTTGAGCCACTGGGTCTTGGCATTTGGTGGATGTGGCTGCGGGTTTTGGATGTGGTTTTCGAATCGACGCACGCAAGCAGAGCCAGCGTAACTCATAAAGTTGCATAATTACCGCACATGAATGGGTGGGGCGTCGAATTTGGGCGTTGCAGTTGCAGTTGCATTAGCCACATATTGCCATCGTTGTCACCGCTTTTGATTTTGATGCACTGCCGCATTTTCGCTGGCCACTTTGTTTGCGGCCAACGCCATGGAAACGTGCCGCACCTGTGCGATTTCCATGTTCGTGTGCGATTTCGAAAGTGGCGTAAGCAACAGCCACTTCCTGGACCTCCATCATCCCAACTGCTGGCCAAGCGAAATGGCCCAGATTCGCCTCCAGTTCGCCAACTGGAATCTAAAGGTGAGTGCTCCGGCATAAAAGGTATTAGAGATCAGGAAGAAATTTTAGCATGTATAATAACATGTGAAAAACCACATATCTTTGGGTTTTTATGTCTCAAAACATTTCAATCTTGGAATATAACTTACTGTTCCCAATTTCTTACTGTGTGGCCTCACTGTAAAAATTACAACTTTTCACAAGTGAAAGTTGTGTGTGGGCCACGTTTTCACAATAGAGCCACTTGGGGCTTAATTATGCATAGGATGGTTATTTTCCTGCCAGCTTTTGGGAAATTGTCAATCTAAAGTCTTCCGGAATCATCAATTTTATGAAAAGCTTGTCTTTTTGCAGTGGAATTTTTATTATGTGAATAGCTACAATTATATATTTTCCATTGTTTCCAATAAATTGCATAATTCTTGACTTATATTCGAAGACACATGGCTACGATATAGTATAATAAATCTTGACCACGGCCCGATCGATTTCATAAGCCATCCAATGAGTTTCCAGTTGATAATCACCTTCGGGGAAGGGTAGAATCTTCGTAACTCTGTGGTTGACAAAGTCTGTGGGAATCTTATCCACAAAAAGATCGTGCTATTGTAGAAGAATGATTTAAATTGGGTTATAGTACACAAAGATATACTCACATCAAAGGGGCAGGAATGGTTAAGATTCGAGTAGGAATTAAAGAATTCGTAAAAGTACTTCCCTACTGGGTTCGACTCAGGGTTTTTTAAAAATCTACACGCATCCACTGTGATATTGAACATAAAGGGCCTGTAGCCGCTAAATCGCTTGTATAGTATCCCATTGAACTGGAGATAATTACGATTAAAGTGACGATAAAAGTGTTTTATTTGTGCAATATCTACATACCTTGACTTTTGTAACTGGCGTTTTGAATAAGTTCACTTTAAGCGTTATGTATTTGTAGCTCCGATTCGCAGACCTTATATAGCAGAATTCAAAATCAGCGAAGGTTTTGTCGGTGGATGTGCATTGGAGGTTGGTGAATTCAAATTTGGAGGAGATCTGTAAAAAAAATCGATTAGTTTAATTAAGTTTATTCAAATTGAAGGTAGCAACCTGTTCAGCCATAAATAGAAATACTGAAATGAATATTAATTGGAAGCGATTATTCTTCAACATTGTGCAATAATGTCTCAACATTAACTAAACTGAACTGGATTTTAGTATACGTGTATTGCAAAAGTAACATTTCAAAAAACATGTACGAAACTACATTTCAGAATAATGTAGGAACGCCAATTATACTAGGTAATTTAGCATCGCAAAGCGATTGGATTAATTGGATTTCTATGATATGGAAGTCAATTTGTGTTCAGTGTTCCAGTGTTGTTTCACAAAATTACTTAGATCTGCAGTAGATTAAAGCCAGTGAATTCATTTCAGATCTCTCCCAACGACGGACTGCCCCAGAAGATCTGCAGCGACTGCTTCACCAAGTTCTGCTCGATCGACGCATTCCGAGTGGCCTGCCAGGAGGCACAGCTGAAGCTGTCCAACATCTACGACAAGATCGATGCCAGCAGCCTGGAAGAAGAGCACCCGGAGTATCTGGAGCGGGCGGAAGAGCATCAGGAATCGGAAACATCCAAAGCAACAACGACGGTTTCAGCCGAAACACAACCAAACACTGCCAGTGATACCATAGAGATTTTTGTGGATGCCGTAGACATCGACGAAGCGGAAGAGGAGGAGGAGCAGCAGCAGTATGATGAGGAGGTGGACGAACCAATCACAGATCAGTCTGCTCCCCCGGAACTGACCATTAGCTATGCCTGCAAATTCTGTTTGCGTCCGCAGGAGAGCTACCAGCTGCAGCAACTCTTGCTGGAGCACATCAACGCCAGCCACGATCCGGAGCAACCGTACAATTGTCCGGAGTGCGAGGCCCGTTTCCAGGATGCCGCCTCGCGCACGGTGCACCTGAAGAGCTGCCACGTGGAGAAGCAACATGCCTGCGGGGTGTGCGGCAAGAAGTACGGCGACAGGCACAACCTGCGCCACCACGTGGAGAAGTACCACTCGGAGACGGACTTTGAGTGCGCGCTGTGCGAAAAGCGCTTCTACACACGCAAGAGCCTCAACTACCACATGAAGTGGCACAATCCGGAGCGCCAGTTCAAGTGTCGCCACAGCGGCTGCGAGCGACTCTTCATCAGCCAGCGGCATCTCATGTGCCACGAGGCCACCCACTCGGGCACCAGCTCCAGGAAGAGCGAGCACTGCGGCTTCTGCGGCAAGAGTAAGAATCACCAATTGCGCCAAACCTGAATATTGCTCATACGCCATGTTGACCACTTTTATCACCTAAACGTTTCTGTTATTATACTATGCCATCTATGAGTAAACGGAATTAAGCTCCCCAATTTTGTTATCTACACAGCATTCATACACCTGAAGACTCTTCGCTGGCACATTTACAGGCAGCACGGCGGGGAGAAGCCCTACAAGTGTGCCAATTGCACGGAGGGTAAGTCAAGTTGGATCCTCCGGTTCGGGGACAACTACACGGGATCTTCTGCTTGGGAGATCCATCGATTCAAACAATTCACAAACATGAGCATTAACCATATATCAATCTGTCGCATCATATATTAACATTCTCACATCCAACAAGCGCTTTAAGAACATAGAAACTGGGCCAAGACCGGCTGCTTCTGCCGCCCTATATAGTGTGTTAGTCAAGCCAAAAGCAACGGTAATGATAATGGCTAACCCAGCTCCATTTTGTACACCTTATTAGCCATCGCATGCGATTAACGAACGGCAAAAGTTTTGTACTTTGATTTCCACTTAGCCACTTAGCGTTTTAACCAATTAAACCCATCAACCAAATGCATAACCAACTCCATCCACCGTACGAATCCCCGGAGAGCAGCATGTCAGCAATTACATAGATAATCGTCCTGCATTTAAGGAATTTCATTCATTATTGAAATATATTTTTGATTTTAACAAAGTTAACTTCCTATCTTCAGGACGACACATTTTTCCGAGTTTTCTACTTCATGACACCCTACGATTAGCCGCCTTTTAACTTTGTACCAATGGATACTAAACCCATTTTTGTCCAATTCCACAGTCTTTGCATCCTATGCGGAGAAAAGGATTCACATGCTGGAGCGGCACAGGGAGAACCTAACGGCCATCGAGCGGAGTGAGTGCATGCTCTGCCGCCAGCCCTTCTCCAGCGAACCCGACTTGATCCATCACATGTCCGTGGAGCATTTGCAGCGACCTGGAGCTCCGGTCATCGCGAACAACAAGCGGGTGCTGCAGCAGAAGCGGGAACGCCAGTACTCCGGACTCTTTCAGTGCGGCAGCTGCAGCCAGCGGTTCAACATGAAGTCCGCTCTGGAGCGGCACGCCGCCGTGCATTCTGAGAAGGATCGACCGCACGCCTGTCCACACTGCTCCAAGCGGTTCAAGCGCGCCCAGGACATGAAGTGGCACATTAAGACCCACGAGAAGGAGAAGCCCAATGTGTGCGATGTTTGTGGCAAGGCCTTCGCCCTCAAGTATGTGCTCACCCAGCACCGGCTGAGTCATGAGGGTAGGGATGTCCACATGTATCTTCTAAGATCTCTTATACTAGTAAGCTTCAATCTATTGCAGTCTTGGAGAAGAACTTCAAGTGCAACGTATGCGGTCGAGCCTATCTGTTTGAGAAGTCTTTGCGGCTGCATCAGCGAACTCACACGGGCAAAACCTACTACAAATGCGATATCTGTCAGGAAAGATTTGTCACGCACATTAAGCTTAAGAGTATGTATGCGAAACCACTCAATGATGCACTTCCATATAGATGAATATCACTTCCAGCTCACATGCAAAAGACACACGCGTCTCAGCCGCACTCGGCGGACCACCCTCTGGATGATCTGATCAACATTGTGATTTCCTAACCAAGTGGAACAGAAAAGATTTCTGTCATAGCCAAGCACAGCGCAGAAACTGCAATGCATTGCGAGCGTAGCTCTCGGAACTCAAGCCTACATAGACCATATACATGTACCCTCCAGCCACTCACTAGACCATATGCACGCAGCGATCCTAGGATCGTAGAAGTGCTTAGAGCTTTATTTAGAAGATACTCCGTAGGCCATAACCCATACATACATATGTATATCTCTGTCCATTTCTTCGATCAGTCCCTAAGGCGCTTCAGCCGCATATCTCTTTCTATCTCTGATCCATATTAATCTCACAGAACGCCTTTAAACTCTCCAAGCACATATATCCATTTGACCACTTAGCGATAAGAAGTAAGCAATGAAAACAAACAAGATGTTATACGAGCAATCTAGGCTTCGCGGCAAAACTTTTAGTGCTCAAGAAATGCATTTATTTCCAGATGAAACCGAGAAGTATTTACAATAATTACTGAAATGTATGAGAATATTTAAAATATCAATATACTATGGATTTTATTATATGTAGTTGCAGATATATTTACCAAATTCATGTTCCGAATAAACATTCATTTGACCAAAGTTTGAATTGCGGTTACTTTTTGAGGTGCGCGGCAGCGATCGATTACATTTGAGATTACATATGCCAAAATCTTTTTTAAGTACTGATTCAATACTAGCTAGAAAAAGCTAGTAATAATTTAATGAGCCGTGCAATCTTAATAATGTTTTCACAATCAAGCCACTTGGGGCTTAATTATGCATAGGATGGCTATTTTCCTGCCAACCCCAAAGCTTTTGGGAAATTGTCAATCTAAAGTCTTCCGGAATCATCAATTTTATGAAACGCTTGTCTTTTTGCAGTGGAATTTTTATTATGTGAATAGCTACAATTATATATTTTCCATTGTTTCCAATAAATTGCACAATTCTTGACTTATATTCGAAGACACATGGCTACGATATAGTATAATAAATCTTGACCACGGCCCGATCGATTTCATAAGCCATCCAATGAGTTTCCAGTTGATAATCACCTTCGGGGAAGGGTAGAATCTTCGTAACTCTGTGGTTGACAAAGTCTGTGGGAATCTTATCCACAAAAAGATCGTGCTATTGTAGAAGAATGATTTAAATTGGGTTATAGTACACAAAGATATACTCACATCAAAGGGGCAGGAATGGTTAAGATTCGAGTAGGAATTAAAGAATTCGTGAAAGTACTTCACTACTGGGTTCGAATCAGGGTTTTTTAAAAATCTACACGCATCCACTGTGATATTGAACATAAAGGGCCTGTAGCCGCTAAATCGCTTGTATAGTATCATATTGAACTGGAGATAATTACGATTAAAGTGACGATAAAAGTGTTTTATTTGTGCAATATCTACATACCTTGACTTTTGTAACTGGCGTTTTGAATAAGTTCACTTTAAGCGTTATGTATTTGTAGCTCCGATTCGCAGACCTTATATAGCAGAATTCAAAATCAGCGAAGGTTTTGTCGGTGGATGTGCATTGGAGGTTGGTGAATTCAAATTTGGAGGAGATCTGTAAGAAAATCGATTAGTTTAATTAAGTTTATGCAAATTGAAGGTAGCAACCTCTTCAGCCATAAATAGAAATGCTGAAATGAATATTAATTGGAAGCGTTTATTCTTCAACATTGTGCAATAATGTCTTAACATTAACTAAACTGAACTGGATTTTAGTATAAGTGTATTGCAAAAGTAACATTTCAAAAAACATGTACGAAACTACATTTCAGAATAATGTAGGAACGCCAATTATACTAGGTAATTTAGCATCGCAAAGCGATTGGATTAATTGGATTTCTATGATATGGAAGTCAATTTGTGTTCAGTGTTCCAGTGTTGTTTCACAAAATTACTTAGATCTGCAGTAGATTAAAGCCAGTGAATTCATTTCAGATCTCTCCCAACGACGGACTGCCCCAGAAGATCTGCAGCGACTGCTTCACCAAGTTCTGCTCGATCGACGCATTCCGAGTGGCCTGCCAGGAGGCAAAGCTGAAGCGGGCGGAAGAGCATCAGGAATTGGAAACATCCAAAGCAACAACGACGGTTTCAGCCAAAACACAACCAAACACTGCCAGTGATCCCATAGAGATTTTTGTGGATGCCGTAGACATCGACGAAGCGGAAGAGGAGGAGGAGCAGCAGTAGTATGATGAGGAGGTGGACGAACCAATCACAGAGCAGTCTGCTCCCACTTCGCGGCAAAACTTTTAGTGCTCAAGAAATGCATTTATTTCCAGATGAAACCGAGAAGTATTTACAATAATTACTGAAATGTATGAGAATATTTAAAATATCAATACACTATGGATTTTATTATATGTAGTTGCAGATATATTTACCAAATTCATGTTCCGAATAAACATTCATTTGACCAAAGTTTGAATTGCGGTTACTTTTTGAGGTGCGCGGCAGCGATCGATTACATTTGAGATTACATATGCCAAAATCTTTTTTTTAGTACTGATTCAAAGCTAGCTAGAAAAAGCTAGCACTAATTTAATGAACCGTGCAATCTTAATAATGTATTCAAGTTGTTATTCATTTTCTTTACTCGCAATAAGTAGAACAGTTCTAGCTAGGAAACAGACAAAAGCTGCCAGCACCGCCATCGCCCACATCCGATAGTTGCGACTCGTGACTGCGTGAAGAATCAGCGACTAGTATCACCTGCGGCTAAAATTCGCCCATCTCTAGAGAACGTGAACACGTCAGTTTTTAGTTTATAATATTAAAAGCGAAAAGTTCAGTGTACAGCGGTCGCGAATCCGAACAAGAAGTGGCAGCAATGCCCACGGGGAGTATCAGCTAGACTCCATAACACACAAACGGCTAAAACAACAAGCTGACCAAGTCAGAAATTACCGAAATAATCGCAGACGGCTGTAAGTTTACCAAAAACGGACGCAAAAGTCATAACAGCGAGCTGAAAATAAAGCCGCCAGTGAAAGTGGATGTGCAAGAGGGGAAGCAGTGCGACCGTAGAGACTAGCAGCTGCCACGCCAAGCAGATCTGCCGTGCGTGTCGATAGAGATTCAACTCCAAATCACACCCACACTGGTTCTCAGCGGCGGTATCTAATAACACGTAGCCATCAACATGGCCTTGCCATTGAGTGACCTACTCATGATCGGCGGCGGCGAGAAGAAACTGGCCGCCTGCCTGGTGCTCCTCCTTCTGGAGCTCTTCCTGGAAGGTACGTACTTCAAATCCTTATCTACTAAATCTCCCCAAATACACGTCATTGTTTCTCGCACAGGCGGTGAGTCGACGGCCAGTCCGGCGCACATTCAGAACCATCTGGAGCTGGGCAAGCAGTTCCTTGCCCGCGGACAGCTGTCGGATGCACTGACGCACTACCATGCAGCTGTTGGTAAATATAACTGGCTTGTACACATGAAAGACTCGGAATATCCATGACACTTCATTTATATTCGGTTTTTACCATAGCAGCTGCCTTTAATTTTGTATAAATTCGGAAGAATTTACATAACATCGCTATCGAAAGTTGCTATTGCCTACGAATATAAATATTTTCTAAATATTTTTGGCAAACAAATCATAGAACATAACCATTTTTTGCAACTTTCAAGGCCAAGACGCTGGTTATTTCCATATAAAAATGCAGTGGATAAGCAAACTTGTGCAGTATGTCTTGAATTTTATGATTAAATTCATTTGGTAAACTTTTGGTTAGGACTACATTTATATGTGCACGGATATCCCCCCCTTTCTCTGCCCTCGTCTTTGATTTAACCTTTACCTTTTTCACAGAGGGCGATGCCAACAACTATCTGACGCTTTTCAAGCGCGGCACCGTGTATTTGGCGCTGGGCAAGACGCGTTTCGCCGTCCAGGACTTCAGCAGGGTGCTGGAACTGAAGCCAGACTTCACGGCCGCCCGCATTCAGCGTGGTGTTGTGCACATGAAGAGCGGAGAGTATGAGCAAGCGATGCTGGACTTTGATCAAGTGCTGCAAGAGGAACCCAACAACGGCTTGGTGTTGGAGCACTACTCCAGCTTGACATCCGCAAAGACACAGTTGGTGGTGCAGCGGGCTGTTCAGCCCGGTGATCACGAACACGCCATTTTCTTGCTCACACAGTTACTAGAGATCTCACCGTGGGCGGTGCCCTTCCTTCAGGCTCGCTCTGATGCCTACATTGCAATCAATGATCCACTGTCAGCCATTGCTGATTTGCGACAGGTGAACCGTCTCACCCAGGACAGCACTGAGGGCCACTACAAAATCGCCCAGCTGCTGTACACTATTGGCCACGCCACGAATGCCTTAAAAGAGATCCGCGAGTGCCTGAAGTTCGATCCGGAGCACAAGCTCTGCTTCCCCTTCTACAAGAAAGTACGAAAGGTGGAAAAGCAGCTGGTTAACGCAGAGCAGGCGCGTGAGGAGAAGCAGTTTACCGAGTGCATAGCCGCCGGAGAGGCAGTGCTGCGTAACGAACCGGAGGAGACGAGGATCCGGTATGAGGGGCACAAGGTGCTCTGTTCTTGCTACACGGGCGATGAACAGTTCGGCAAGGCTTTGCAGCAGTGCAAGGAGTCACTAGATATTATGAAGGATGCTCAGGTCTACTGTGATCGTGCTGACGCGTTGCTGGGCACCGAGATGTACGATGATGCCATACACTCCTTCCAAGCGGCTCTCGATCTGGAGGAGAGCAACTCCCGCGCGAAAGAAGGCATCCAGAGGGCGAAGAAGCTGCAGAAGCAGGCAGAACGCAGGGATTACTATAAGATATTAGGCGTTGGGCGCAGCGCCAGCAAACAGGAGATTGTGAAGGCTTACAGGAAGGCGGCGCAAAAGTGGCATCCGGACAACTTCCGGGACGAGGAGAAAAAACTGGCCGAGAAGAAGTTTATCGACATCGCCGCAGCCAAGGAGGTACTCACGGATCCCGAGAAGCGGACCCTGTTCGACAGCGGCGTGGATCCGCTGGATCCTGAGAGACATAGTGGCGGCTTCCATGGCGAACATCCGTTTGGACACTTCCAGCACGGGTCGCCGTTCCAGTTCAAGTTCCACTTCAATTAGTCAGCCAGCCAGCAGCCATTTGCTTTGTGATGTCCTAGCCGCGATCCCTGATATCCTTCAACGATTTTACATTGTTTTGTTCATTTAAATGGCGTGTAAATAGTAGCATAAAGCATAAATAAACCCACGGTCCGTTGTCAGAGAGTAGCACACACACAAATCGCAACAAAACACCCTGAGCACTTACATTTAATGGGTTTATTTAATACAATACAATAATTATAATGTAGTACATTTTTCTAATTATGTATAAAAAGAAACAATATGCGAGAACAAGCAATTAAAGACTTGGATAAAGAATTGAATATTTGTTAGTTTTGAACATGTTTGGGATTTAAAGTAGTCTTAAGGTGCAAAGTCTTCGTAAATATGCCTTCTTTGTAGTCTGGGGTAAAAATGCGTGAAGTATCCAAAACCAAATGTTGTACCCTGATATGAACGCTTCTCAGGCGTTGGGCGTCAATACCACGTACACCATGGTGGCCAGCATCACTGACACTACCAATATTAAGTAGAATTTGAGATTATATTTTTGATCCAACGATACCGCCAGTGCACGGAACTGCGCCATGGGCGAAACCTGATCGTCGTGTCTTACCAGAGGCTTTCTGGACTGCGGCGATAAGCGCTTATTTTGGAAATGTCTTCTAATGGGTGGTTCTTCAGCTTCGGACTCGCTCTCTGTGTCCATGGGCTCACCAGCGTTGTCCGGTTGATCGTAGAACTGATTCAGTTGCGGATATAGTGTGTTTACTGCGGTAGTCGGCTGCAGCAGGCGACCACGGGCCAGGTTGGATCCACTTACTGGAAAACTCTCTCGCTGGCGAATGGGTGCTGGAGCTGGTGGTGGGCCACCAAAAGGCATAGCAGATCCGCTGAAAGTGTTTCTTGGCGAAACAGATGGAACTTTTGGGTTGAATGCCGATACCTCCTGGTAGCTGGTAGAGTTTAAATTGGTTTGGGTCAGTAGGGGACGCGAGAAACCCAAATCTGTGCGTCTGTAGCTCGACGGTTCGATGCGTGGTTCGTATGTGGGAAGTGTGTGAAGAGTAGCGGCTGGCACATGGGGTCTTTCGTACGTGTAGCTGCGTGGTATATCCTCCTGTTCGTACAGCGGCTGGTCAACTTCGCGAGTGTACGATGTGGTCAGAACTCCGGATTTGGTTAGAGAAACAGAGCGTCTAGGCCCTTGGTCCTGGGCGTACTTAAGACCCGGTGAGTCCACCATGTAGTAGTCATCGTCCTCCGACTGGGAGCCCACATCCGACACCGTGGTAGTAGTTTGCACAGATCTTCCCGAGATTGAAGTGTTGTCTAGTCCATAGGCGATTGTGCGTCGACTTTGCTCGCTGATCTTGTTATTGTTGGTTTTGGTGAGGCCTGCACTCCTGCCGGGTGTACGACGTACTGGCTCCGATGTGGGCGTCGTTACCTGGCTACCGTGTACAGTTTCACGCCTTGGAGTTGCTTTCTTACTTGCAGATTTGCTTTTGTTAAGTGGAACCCCGGTAATGGCGGCCTTTAGCCGGCGAATGATGACGCTTCGTGTGCTGTCCGTGACAGGAACTCCGGGCAGGCCATACTCCAGGCACTTGGCCAGCAGCTCCTTGTTGCCCAACGTGTCCAGGTAAGCAAGGTCCGACATTCTTTCTCGCCGTGGTGAAACTCAAAACAAAAATAGCAATGTCGTCACGATTGTTGCTGTTGCTATTAGCGATGGCACGGCAGCGATAGGATGGGTTCCAACGGAGACCTTCTATCGATTGTTAGCTAAATATCTCATTTTGCCAAATTATAGCTAGATTTTATGAAGTAAAATTGATGAAAGTGAAGTGAGTTATGTACTACAGTAAAAGAAAATTTTAGGCATCAAGTACTAAGTTCCAAGAAGAAGTACTAAGTTCTTAAAGAAAAATGAAAGCATATATTTTATATGCAATCGGATAATCGCTTCATGTTTAGTGCTTAAAATGTGCGAGACTAAACATTCACGCCAGTGCTGCCAGACCTGGACGAAGGCGCAGTCTGCGGTATATTTCACTTAGCGCCCAACGGTCACACAGTTAGTTTTATGAAAATCGAACGCGCAACAGGTGTTCAATCGCAAGCAACACGCTTGAATTAAACGAATCGCCGCGCGGAAAGCGCTCGCCAAGCCAAAGAAAACCCCAAGTCGCTGTGCGGAAAACTAAGGAGTTATAGTATCATAGCATAAACAGTGGATTGTGGCAAAGCAATCGTGAATCATTTGCACCTGTTCGGCGCCCAACATTCCTGAACTTTTTTTTGCGTTTCTGCGCCTGCGTGTGTGCCTCATTTAGTTTTCCCCATTTTGTTTACCTCTATCGCGGGTGTTTTTTAAAGTGTTCGCTTCGATTTCGAGCAAGACAGCAAGTGGCTGGAAACATTCGAAAATTTGCTAGCTGCAATTGCAGCTTATTTTCTATTTAGCCAAGCCAAGAGCAAGGGAAACACCAACAACAACCGCAACAACAACGGCAGCAGTAGAAGCAGCAGCATAAACATAAACCAAAAAACCGGTTAAGGCGGACAAGAGTGAGAAAGGCGCCCCAAAAAGAGCAAGCGGGACAAAACACTCACATAAAAGGTGAAACAAAAAAATACAAACAACGAAAAAATAATATTCTCGGATTTTGGTTTTTGTTATTTTGTTCCACGCAAACAGAAAATAAGTGTGTTTGTTCTTTGTTCAAACGTGTGTTGACATCGAGTTTTCCATTCCTTTCCGAATTCCTTATCGGCCGATCAAATCGAAAGTGAACGAGTAATTGCCTTTCTGGTATTTGTTTTATTACAATTCGATATTGCTATTGCCCAAACTCTGCGCGTGGCCTCCTTCTTATCGGCCGTCCAGTCTACTCCACTCCAATCCACAAGACGAACTACCTGTTGCCGCAACAATTAACACCAGGTGAGCAATAAAATCAACCCTTTTCTCACTTCTGCAGCTCTAAGTGTCCAATAGGACCACCGGGTTTTCTGTGAATGTTTACGTTGCATCTACAACGAATTCCAAGGAATTCCAAATGAATTTGTAGAATTGTACTCTCGAAAACATATTTGCACATTTTCTAACAGTTTCTCTACAAAACTTGTCGGGAAAAATAGTTTTCCAATGTAATGTAATGTAATATTAAACACTTAAGTGCAATACATTGCAAATTAGGCAAATTGTCCAGCTGTAAATCTAAAACTTATGCAAGTCCTTTTCTGAGCTACGTTTATTTTAGACTTTATTACAATTAACAATTTACCTATTTCGCAGTGCTCATTTACACCCGATAGTACGTAAATTATGTTTACACGTTTTTAAATGAGCATCGAGTGCCACTAATCCATTGTATGTTGCTATTTTTAAGAGACTTGTATGAATTGGCCGATTTCAAGTAGCTTTAAATGTTATTTATTGTTACCAATACAATTCGTGTTAGGCAACTCATTCTGTTCAGTCGGTCATTGCCTATATTTGGAACTGCCTGATAGCCAAGTCACGTGAGGAGCCTTCCAACGATAAGCCAAAATACAATTGTTAACAAAAGATTAGCCCCATGCCTTGACATTAGGCAACCCCAATTGGGGAAATTGGGGAATTCGCCATCGCAGTTCATTGACACAACCTTTGGCTGCTGTTTTGTTGTGTTACTGTTTTGCTGCTGAAACCGCTCAACTTTCACTGAAAAGGCGGCTGGGCCAAAAGCGCCATAAATCGGCATAAATCGGAATAAATCAGCACGAAAACAACACACGCGACAAGAAAATGTTGTAAATGCCAAAATTGAAATGCAGGCGCAGGTTAATAAAATCAAATTTGTTGCCCGCTTTTGTCATCTCGTTTTCATCGCTTGTTTTCCATTTCCATTTTATTTAATTTAATTTAATTTCATTTATGTAATCCCTGGTTAATTTCCAAGCATCATTAAGCCGCGGAGAAAAAGTCTCTTGGCCGCAAATTGAAGCACACGAGCGGATGGTTATGAGATAATCAGTAAATTGCACAAGACCAAATGAAGTCATGAGAGTTGAGTGGATGTGGATTATCGAGTGGGATTCGAATCGAATCGAATCGCATCGCAACGATGGAGCTCCAATTTGACACTAAATTGAATGAGATAACAGATTCGAAAATGATTTATATCTATCAATGCGAAATTAAACTGCATGGCGTGCTCGAAACCGAGCGGCTCAAATTGGTTTTAGCCATTTCCATTTCTGGGAAGCTTTACTTGTTTGAAAATTTCCCAATGCCCAATAACCAATACCAAGTAGCCATTCCAATTCCAATCCCGAATCCATATGACTCATAGCCAAATGCATTTATTCATTCCAATCTTGCATCTACTTATTGCTGGAGCTAGACATACAAAAAAAGCGAAAACCAAAATTCCTCAATCGTGAAGAAAACAAAATGCCAAATATTCCCACCAAAAAAGTTGATATATGCAGAAAATACAAAACAAGCGGCCAACAACAGCAACTTTTATGAACAGCAAAACTATGCGCATAAAAAAGTTATATAAAAAACACGTTCAGACTCCAAGCGACTCGGTGCGAGCGGGATGGCGATATCAAGTGGGTTAGCCGCCTGCATGTGTGCGTTTGTCGTATCTGTGTGAGCCACGCTTCAATTGCAAATGCGCCCAGTAAGCGAACAAAGTAGAAAAACGTTGAAAAAGCATTGACGCAGATACGCGCGCTGTGTTTGCTGTAATGTTGTTGTAATTGTAAATTCTACAGGTTTCTTACTTGGTATTTGTTTGTTTGCCTCTTTGTCCCGGCATGTGTGTGTGTGCCTTGCTGTGTGTGTGTATGATTTAGCTGTTGTTGCCTTAATGGCAGCAATAGCAACAACAACAAGATCGGTCTGCAATTTTACGCCAAAACTAAAAAGGCGAGCGATCGAGCAGAAATCGAAGCGATCGGAAAGCACGGAAAGAAAAGTTGGTGTATAAAAACTTCAGGCCAGATTGAAAACAATAAAAAAGCTTAAAACATGTTTATAACACTCATAAAATATGCTTTGGCATTTTAATTGATTTCTTTCTATTTAAAAAGAGTGTATTCCACACTTTCACGAACGAAGACACAACTCATTTCGAGGAAATGAAAATGGGAGGAATCTGAATAGGAATATAAATATTGCTTAAATGCAACCAATATTTTCTTACCGTGCAGCATTGAAAGAAAAGGATGAAAAGGGGGCGGCGCTGGAAAAGCAGTGGGGGCAGCGGGGTGGCAGGGGGGCTACTCCATTCGTAGGCAAACCGGGCCAGTTGCCGAGCACTGTGGGCCGAAAAGCGCACCAATCTTGGGAGTTAACCCCTGCTGATAGCCGCTCATAAAAGGCATTTCCAGAAAAGCACACGCCAAAGTGTTCTCACCTTGAAAGATATTAGATTTGTGTCTAAACAAAGCAGCAGACAAACGTTAGAAACCTAAAAAAAAAACAGGCTTAACTACCAGCTATTAAGCTTAAATTACAAGAAATTATATTAATTGGCATGTCTGAATCTTTATGTATTGTATTTTATTATACATTATGTTTAGTTACCTGTGTACCATAGTCAAAACATTAGTAAGTTCCCCAGTTTTATGAGGTCCCTATATCCACTGTGCCCGTGCTTATGCCCCAACGAAAGCAACAACAATCACTAAACAACTGCGGCGAACGTTGCAAGCAGGCGAGTCGTAGTGGTGGACCCCAGTGGTGGATCGCCCCAAAAGTAGCCCCCAAGTATTCGTCTTAACTTGGCCAACAGCTTGGCCAACTTGCCGTTCGCCTCAGCTTGTTTCGCTTTGTATCGGTTCGTATCGGCTTGGATCGGATCGGTATTTTTGTTTTGCTTGTGTTTTGCACTCGTATTCGTAATTGTTTCACGAAACTGGCCAGCTTCAACTGGCGAGGGTGGTGGTAGCTCCCAGGGGGTATGGCCAATAAGGGGGGTAGTGCGAGTACGAGTACGACTACGGTTAAGAAAAACCAAATCCAAAACCAGCAAAAAAAAAACAGGTGCGCAGTGCGCAAGCGCGCGCATTTTTGGTTTTGCTTACTGGTTTTTTCGGTGGCTTCGATTTGGGGCCAACTGTTTTGCGCTTTTAATTATGGTTTATGTGTCGCTTACGAACACCGAACGCTAAGCCGTCGATCGCCGATCGGCATACACTTATCCCATAAGCGGTACACATACCCATATAGATATAGTTATACTCGCATGTCCAGAGCCGCAGCACAAGGTTGCCGCAAAGTGACACGAGTTGAGGAGACATGTGGGGCCATTGAGGTTACTGCTGGCTACTTGGATACTTGGCTACTTGGACACTGCTTGGCTAATTGTGAATTGTGAATTGCCTTCTGGGCGGATCGCCATGGAATTGCCTTCGGGCGGGAGCCATTGGCCAAAGTTATTGGAGTGGAAAGCCTCGATTTGAAGGTGAAGTCTCTGGCTTTCCCCTCTCGAAAAATCAGGCTAGAAACTCCTGCCCAGGTAGGTGATTTTATCAGATAAGGGGCGTTAGCCTTACTTTATAAACGGTCCTGGAAATTCCTACTTCGATAAGTTTTTATTGGCCTTTCCTAAGAAGAGTCGATTGGGAAAACCTCTTAAATCATCCAGAAGGGAATAATCGCAACTCAAATAGGGTATACTTTGAATTCCACTGAAGAAAGGCTCTATATCTTTGGGTTTTTCAGATACTATAGAAATGCGCCGTAATTAGGATTTTATCAGTCTAATGCCAAGTGCTTTATATCAGCAGATTTATTTGATAACTCGGTGTATGGATTAGATTCAATTAGCCTTCAAGTTTCAGTCCAGGGTCTTTCATGTACCTATGTATTTGTTTTTAACCTTTCAGTAAATTTCTTCTTATCAACTTGGGTACTCATTCTAATTTTGGTGTAAGTGAATCAAATTGGCAGGTGAATCATGAACAAAATACTGTAATAAAATCATTTTAATACCTTTCCGCTTATCTGCTGCATGGTACTTTAAGTCGTACGAACTGCCTGAAAGGTAAACAATGTCGGGAGACATATCTGAGCACTATCTGGTGACCCAATTTGAGTCATCAGATGGGTACGACAATTGCATCCCGACGAAACGTGGGCAAAAGTCAAGGCATCGCGGTGCATAAGTCACATGGTGTCTTAATAAATATTAGATTGCAGCAATCGCGCAGATACAAATGTATCTGGGTAAAAAACGAGATTGTATCTCGAGTCGAGTTACGAGCGCACGCGTGTTTCTTGCGCCTTTGTTTTGTTTACACTCGATTGCAAGTGCAATTTGTATCTGGCGGATACATTCCATGCCACATGTGCTTTGCATAAAAAGGCCCGCTCAAATGGCCAACTCGGCTTAACTGTAACTGGCAGTGATGACATCTGCTAGATACGCAGATACACAGCTAAATATCTGGCGGATGGCTCAAGCGTAAATGCAATGCACGCACGCTCACAGCTAAAACAAATACGACAAGTAACCCTCTGGCCTTATTAATATTTATTAATTTGTTATTTAACTGGCTTCGATCTCTTTGTTCGCTGGCTGAGGCAACTTTTTGCCTCTCAATTTGCATAAAGCCCGATAAAAGATACGTTTGTTTTTACGTTTTTATAAGCCAACTTGTTTTCGGATTGCTGTCCAGTTTTTTCGTTGTTGTTCAATTGCCAATTTGACCTTATTAAGTATGATTTGTACAAATACCTTGCGTGCGTCCTAATTAATTGATTTGTTTTCATCCCATAAATATTTAATTGTATTTTCTAGGTCTCCCCCTAGCCCCTTTTATTTATTGGATTTTTCAGAACCGTGCCAAAGCGTTTAGGCCACTTACGTTGTGACGAATTCAACTGACATTTATAGAACCCTAGGCTAGTGGCTAGAATTAAGTGAAACTCATACGACACAGTTG